TCCTGCGTGTTGGCTGGTGGTGAGGCCACTGGGGAGGAAGCAGAGGTAAGTTGGGTGAGTTGAAATAAGTTGGTCCAGAAGGCTCTGCCATGAGGTGACTTTGAATGAAGAAGAACTGAAGGAAGCCAGAAAGATCCCCGGGGAAGGATGTTCTGCGCAGAGGGAATGAGGGGCCAGCTCCCTGGCAGGCACTGAAGAGACTTCGCCTCCTCCTCTTAGATAAGAGTCTGCAGAGCCGCTTTCCAGCCTGGCTTATCTCAGCTGGAGAGCGGAGAGTGGAGAATGATTGAGGGAGGGTGGTTTTTCTCAGCATTCCCGGAACGGAGGCAGCTTGGGCCCAGGGAGAAAAGTCCTCTCCCCACGGCTTTGTTTTCTCTAGAACCTGGGTAGAGAAGGCTGCAGAGTGTCCTGGGCAGGTGCTGGCCTGTGTTAAACAGCTCCTCACTGATGGCTGGAGAGAAGAAACAGGCCCTGGGGGCCGGGGAGTGGCAGCTGGGGTGAGGGCAGTTGGAGCGGGCTGGTGTGGAGCTCAAGTTGTACTTGGAAGTGAAGAGCGCAAGATTTGTAGGATTGGATGTGAGGTGTGAGGAGAGAGGAGCGAAGATGCTTGGAAGTTTTTTGACCCAAGCAACTGGCAGGTTGGGGCTGTCAATTATTTGTGCAGGAAATGCCTTCAAAGAGCCTGCTGTGTAGACCGTTGTATGTGCTAGTGCTGGCATTGAGTAAATCCATTTTTTAACCTTCATGTGGTGAAGATGAGGAAAGGGTTAAGCAGATGGAGGACGTTAGTGTGGTAGGCAAGACTGTCCCCTTGCCAGAGATGGGCCCTTATGTGAGGGCTACATGGCTACCTCGCAGGCAGCCCTCCTTCCTCTGGCCTGCGGTGACCTGACATCTGCCTCTGGCGTGGGAGCTGCTCTCTGCCAGGGCCTGGGCCAGGTGTGGCACCACCTGTGTGACAGGCGGAGGTCCAAAGGCCTTGGTGGCCCCTGGTTGAGGTAAGATCTGCCGGGGTTTAACAGTGTTCTCCAAACCCACTCTGTCTCCCTCTACAGCGGCTGATTGACAAGACAAAGGTGACATATCTGAAGTGGCTGCCTGAGTCCGAGAGCCTGTTCTTGGCTTCCCACGCCAGTGGCCACCTATACCTGTACAACGTCAGCCACCCCTGCGCCTCAGCCCCACCCCAGTACAGCCTGCTGAAGCAGGGCGAGGGCTTTGCTGTGTATGCGGCCAAGAGCAAAGCACCCCGCAACCCACTGGCCAAGTGGGCGGTAGGCGAAGGGCCCCTCAATGAGTTTGCCTTCTCGCCTGATGGCCGCCACTTGGCCTGTGTCAGCCAGGATGGCTGCCTGCGTGTCTTCCACTTCGACTCAATGCTCCTGCGGGGGCTCATGAAGAGCTACTTTGGGGGTCTGCTCTGTGTGTGCTGGAGCCCTGATGGCCGCTACGTGGTGACAGGAGGCGAAGATGACCTGGTCACTGTGTGGTCCTTCACTGAAGGCCGCGTGGTGGCCCGAGGACATGGCCACAAGTCCTGGGTCAACGCCGTGGCTTTTGACCCCTATACCACGCGGGCAGAGGAGGCGACAGCTGGTAGTGGTGATGGGGATGGGAGCGGTGAGGAGGGCGAGGAGCCTGAGGCTGCTGGTGCAGGCGGGGGCGCCTCCCTCTCCCCGTTGCCCAAGGCTGGCTCCATCACCTACCGCTTCGGTTCGGCGGGTCAGGACACGCAGTTCTGCCTGTGGGACCTCACTGAAGATGTGCTGTCCCCACATCCTCCCCTTACACGCACACGCACTCTTCCTGGCACACCAGGTGCCACACCAACAGCCACTGGCAGCTCAAGGGGTCCAGAGCCTGGCCCAGGCCCCTTGCCCCGCTCCCTGTCCCGCTCTAACAGCCTCCCCCACCCAGCAGGCGGTGGCAAGGCTGGCGGCCCAGGTGCTTCCGCAGAGCCTGGCACACCATTCAGCATCGGCCGCTTTGCCACACTTACACTGCAGGAGCGGAGGGACCGGGGGACCGAGAAGGAGCACAAGCGCTACCACAGCCTGGGCAACATCAGCCGAGGTGGCAGTGGGGGCAGTGGTAGCGACAAGCCCAGTGGGCCTGCGCCCCGCAGCCGCCTGGACCCTGCCAAGGTGCTGGGCACCGCGCTGTGCCCGCGCATCCACGAGGTGCCGCTGCTGGAGCCGCTGGTGTGCAAGAAGATCGCCCAGGAGCGGCTGACGGTGCTGCTGTTCCTGGAGGACTGCATCATTACCGCCTGCCAGGAGGGCCTCATCTGCACCTGGGCCCGGCCCGGCAAGGCAGTGAGTGGCACCCCTGTGCTGGGAGGAGGCTCGGGCAGCGAGTGTGGCACTTTCTTGTGGGAGGAGGGGACACATGCAGAGAGATGTCAGTGCCCCAAAATGAGGCCCCACAGGCTTAGAGCACTGGGAAGCTGGAGCTGCTTAGAATCAGCAGCAAAAAGGGCAGTGACCCAAGTCAGCGGGAGACCCTTAGCCAGGGTCCTGAAGGCAGCTTTACAGGGCCCCTACAGCTTGGTCCTGCCTAGTTCTTGTCTCAAGGCAGAGCCCATTTCTGTGGGATTTCAGATGGTGACATTTTTAAGAGGCAAGATGAAGCCTCTGGGCCTAACTTCCAGCATGTTCTTGGACTTTCAGGACCTGTGGCAGGCAGGGCCTGGGAATCGGACCCAGACTCCAGGCCTGCCCATCTATTGTGACCTTGAGCCAGGCACTCCTTTCTGGCCTTTTCGCCACTGTTAGGACAGAGAGCTTTTCAGATGAGCTAGGGTGGGTTCACACAGCTCCCAGATGGCTGTGAGGTTTAGAAGGTCACCACAGTGCAAGACAGGGACCTTGTGAGCTCACAGTGTATCTCGGGCATCTCTGCTCCTCTTAGTTCGGCCTCAGTGCCAGGACCCCAGCTCTGAGGGCTGCAACTCATTGTCTCTACTATTTTGTTGAGGGAGCTGAGACTTGAGTTCTTAGAACCTAAGCACAGTCTCGTCTTGGAGGCAAGGGTGGTGGGGCTTGGGGAGTCGTGACTGATTCCTGAAAGAGACCCCTCTGTCTCCCTAGTTCACAGATGAGGAGACCAAGGCCCAGGCAGGGGAAGGAAATTGGCCCAGGTCACCCAGCAGTTCAGTGGTAGAGGTAGGACCGTCCTTGAGTTCTTGCCTTTCCAGCATCTCAGGACCACTGCCCCAAATCAGATGGGGACTCCAGTTTCCCCTTGCCTCCCCCGTTGTTTCTGCCTGGGATCCTTAATTATGTGTGACCCTGCCAACCGCTGGGACAGGGGAGTTAGCCACCAGCTAAGCTGGGCCTCGGACTAGCGCAGTGGCCTCGGGTCCAGGGTGGGCTGAGGGGCAGCCCCAGGGCGGGAGTGGCCTGGAGGACTCCAGCTGCTCCCTTCCTGCACTGGCAGGGCAGGTGAGGTCTGACCCTGCCTGTCTCCCTTTTGTCCTCCCCAGGGCATCTCCTCCCAGCCAGGCAACTCCCCAAGTGGCACAGTGGTGTGAAGCCGTGGATATTGGGGTCCTCTGCCCCATGCTCCCAGACGCCTAGCCATAACCCTCCCTGCTGACCTCATGGATCAACGTATTAACAAGACTAACCACAAAGGAAGGACTGTTTTGGTCCCCCAAACTGGCCCAGACATGGGGGATGTAGCGGCCCAAGTGGCCTCAGCCCTGACCCCACCCATCGCCAAGTACTGTGATCCTTCCTCTGGAACATCAGTGTTAACCCACATCCCTGTCCCCAGCATGTGACTGGTCGTTTCTGGGGAGAAGCTCCCAGCCACCAGCGCCCCAGCGCACTCCTGGGGTGAGAAGTCAGAGCAGGAGTGGTCCCCTCCCAGCCCATACTTGGTCCCACCCCTTGCTGTGCTCTGTGCTTTTAAAGAGTGTTAAGTTATGGAAGTCCCAGGACCCTCCTTGTCCCCCAGGACTTCTTATTTATACTAAAGTTCCCTGTTTGCACAGCGGCTCTGTTCCCTGCATAGGTGGGCAGATGGGAGGAAGTGAGCCCTCTTGGCATCCATCTGGGACTTGGATTTCACTAAAGGAAGCAGTGGCCAGCCCACCTCCTCAAGCCTGCTCCTGAGGGAAGGCACGAGGACCTGAGGTGCAGCAGGGCTCTAGGGAGGAGGAGAGAAGACATCCAGGAGCGCCTTTGGGTGTGCTCAGGGGTGTTTTAAAAGTTAAAGCATAGCAACTGTCCAATTCCATTCTTTTAGGGCCTCCCCTGTGGGGCTCCCCCCAGCAGCTCCTGGAGGTGCCATCAAGGGGGTCCCTGGAGTACTCAGCCTGGCCTGTTGTGGTCTAGGGGGCCATGGTTTCCTCTGCCCTTTCTGGAAAGAAAGCTACAATCCCTGCTGGCAGCTCTGCAGAGCCACGGGAGTGGTGTCTTCCCACTCCACCCCCAAAATGTTTCTGTTTCTAATCCCAGTCCGGGCAAGGAATGTGGCCACCCGGCCAGGGGCCAAGGAGCTATTTTGGGGTCTCCTCAGGCCCAGGCGGGCCTGGCTCTACCACTTGCCTCCCCCAGGCTTTGGCCAGCAGGTCGGCCCAGGCCTTGGCTCCTGAGAGCATCCCCACCCAATTCTCTACCACCCTTTCCCCACCTCCTGCCAAACACAAAGTGTAAAGCAGAGGGCCCAGGGGCTAAATTTATCCCCAAGTTGGAATCCATCTGAGTCACTGGAGAAACTGCCCTGGCCTCCCCCCCCCCCAGGCCCTGTCTCTCCCTCCCCCCAGCCGTGGTGCTTCAGGGAGATGGGGGGTTAGCTACTCCGTCAATCAGCCTCAATTGGCCATCTGGGCAATGGGAGGGCTCATCTGAACCCACAGTATATAGTGCCCCACCTCTGCTGGGAGGACTGAGATACTTCAGCTCTTGTTTAGCACTGAAAGGGTCAATGGCACTAAGGAATGGGTGGTTGGGGGGCTGGCTCCTGAGGGGTTAAGACTGGGAGGCGGGAGGGGGCTGGACTAGGGGTGGGGTGAGAAGAGGAGGAGGCCTCAGCCACAGAGAAGTGACCACAGAGACCCAGGGGACAGCCAGGGACAGGAGGACATGCAGTCAGGGCTCCAGGGCCTGGACAGGGTCTGTCTGACCCTGTGACAGGAGGACCCCAAGCCTTGGCCCCGGGAGGGGCCATGGTGCTGCCCTCCCGGCATGTCAGCCGAGGTGCGGCTGAGGCGGCTCCAGCAGCTGGCTCTGGACCCCAGCTTCCTGGGGCTGGAGCCCCTGCTCGACCTTCTCCTGGGCGTCCACCAGGAACTGGGCACCTCCGACCTGGCTCAGGACAAGTATGTGGCCGACTTCTTACAGTGGGGTGAGTGCTGGCTTGTGTGGGCTCCTGGGATCGGGTGGACTCAAAGGTAACTTCCCAAGGGGTGCTCCAGAGCTTGGACCAGGTTCTTGGGCAACACAGTTCTGTCCATGCCACCCTGGCAGAGCCAAGTGAAGTCAGCAGAGGCTGGAGCAGCTGTAACAGCCATAGCAGGGGAGCTTCAGCGGGCTAGGGTGGGCATAGCCACCTGTTGTGTCCCTATCTCCCGTGCCTGTGTCTAGGCTAGAGACTTACTGGTGGCCCCATCTCCTCAGTCTGTCTTCTAAGTAGGCCCTGTGACCCTCTACCCTCGTTTTCAAGAGCACAAGGGCAAGCAAGGAGGGACAGCTGCCATGGGTGTGGCTGACAGGTGCTGGGCGCCAGGCTCTCCAGCTGCCCTGACAGGTGCCCAAGCGCTGGGCTTGGTGATACACACAGGCCCTGGGGAAGAGCCAGCTCTGCAGATGCGTGCCACTTGTGGCCTCCTCCCCCACTGGGAGCAGTTTGGGCTTTGGGGTGCCCCCTTCTCTGCCACCCCCCATGTCTTGGTCCCTGCCAGCCTGTGTTGGCCATGGTCCCTTCCAGCTCTCATCCTCCTTAGTGGTCCCAGTTCAGGGCCACCAACCCTCCTGCTATCTTATGAAGTCCCTTCTGGGAAGGTCTTCCTGGGCCCTGGGGACAAGTCAGAGAAGGGCTAAACACTTCCTCCTTGTCTGCCCCCACCCACCAGGCCTAGGTCTCAGGCTTGCTCCAGTTTCACTTCACATGGTTGTCCCTCAGTGTCCTGCTTTTGGTCCCGGGCCTGTGTGTATCCCTGTGTCACTGTCTCCTTACCCTATCTTCCCCAGCTTTCTCTCGGCCATGTCTTCCTCTACCTGAACCAGGCACCATTCTTCTCCCATTTCATAGATGGGAAGGTAGAGGCCAAAGTACAAGCCACTTGGCCTCTGGTAGACACCTCTCCCCACCTTGCCTCCGGCCCAGATCTGTAACTCTCTCAGCCTCATTTTTGCAGAGAAAGAAGCTAGGCTGGCAGGGTAAACTGAGGCCTGTGTGGGGGCAGGGCTCTGGCTCTCCTGGAAGGAGCAGTCCTTTTGTGGCCTGAGCTGCGTCCTCCGGCCCCTCCCCTGCCAGGCCTGAGGCGGGGGAGGGGGCCTGGGTTCCCGCTGCCTTAAAAGGGCTCAATGTCTTGGCTCTCTCCTCCCCCGTCCTAGGCCCTGGCTGCTGCTTCCCTGCCGGCCCCTGCTCTCAGAACCCCCTCTCTCTGTAGCCCATTCCCTCTCCCCTTTTCCCTGCCAGCACTCTTCCCTCCCCCTCCCTGGCTCACAAGCCTGGATTCTTCGACCCCAAGGCCAGGCCTCCCTCTCCCCACTTCCCCCGAGTCTCCAACTTCCACCTTCCCGTGCCCCTCTGGAACTGTGCGCTGCGGGCCCAGCTGCAGGCTCGTAGCCTCTGCTGCTGATGGCATCCGTAAGTGAAGCCGGCTGCCTACTGGGGAGAACAGAGCCACTTCCAGCAGAGCTCAGGCTGTTAGTGCTGGCGGAGCCTCGCCATCCTCTCCTGGGCTCAGATGCAGTGTTTCCCAAAATGCTCCCAAGAACCGCCCGCAGCTCACTCTGGAGGTCCTGGGTACACGGCAGTTCTGGGATGGAACGCAACTCGGGAGATGGGAACTTGGGGTGGGGGTGGGGCACCCTAACTACCACGGTGGGGCCTTGGGGCGCAGGGAGACGTAAGAACTGGTCTTATTCCTGTCCCCCTCTGTTCTCCAAGGCCTCCTATTCTGCAGATGTTTGTCACTCTTGAACCCACTGGAGCCCTCTTGCCAATGCCGTATCTCCAGAACGGGTTCTCAGGCTTCTTGAGTGGGCAGTTTTGGATCACTGAAACCTTACATAGTGTTTTTGTGGGAGAGCTGGGGGAGCAGACAGTGAGAAACAGAGGGGGAGACTAAGAGTCAGGCCGTCCTCTCCAGGGTCCGTCCCAGTGACCCTCGGTTCTTCCTCTACCCCCACCACACCCAGCGGAGCCCATTGTGGCCAGGCTTAAGGAGATTCGACTCCAGAGGGATGACTTTGAGATTTTGAAGGTGATTGGACGCGGGGCGTTCAGCGAGGTGAGTCCTGACTGGCCACCAGAGTTGGAACGCTTTTGAGGTGGGCGGGGCGTAGGAGCTAGGGCGGGACCTTAGAAATTGATGAATGAGAGTTTGAACCCGAGACTGGGCTGGCCTGGGGTGGGGCTTGGGGCCAATGGGCGTGGTGTGTCCGGGGCGGGGCCACGGCTGGGTAAAGTTAGGGGTGGAGTCCAGCCCCGGCGGCTGCGCGTTTTTCTAGCTGCTTCTCTGTTAACTTGTTTCGCCTTTAGGTAGCGGTGGTGAAGATGAAGCAGACGGGCCAGGTGTATGCCATGAAGATCATGAATAAGTGGGACATGCTGAAGAGAGGCGAGGTGAGGGCCAGGCCAGGGACGGTGGGTTGGCGATCTGCGCCTCTCACCTTCATCAGCGCCTCCGCTGCCACGCAGGTGTCGTGCTTCCGAGAAGAGAGGGATGTGTTGGTGAACGGCGACCGCCGTTGGATCACTCAGCTGCACTTCGCCTTCCAGGACGAGAACTACCTGGTGAGCGCCTGACCGGGCGACTGAGAAGGACGGGGCACCCCCTCCCACTTAACAAGGCTGGCTTAGGGAGGGAGAGGAAGTTGCAGTATTGGTTAGCTGCCCCCAAATGCTCGCACGGCAGCCTGTATGTTGGCAAGATGTGTCTCAGGTTGAGGAGGGGCCTTTTTTTAAAACTCTAGAAGTGGGCCGGGGAGATGGCTCAATAGAATAAGCGCTTCCCTGGCAAGCGCAAGGGCCTGAGTTCAATCCCTGGTTCCGCAAAAAAAAAAAAAAAAAACCTCTGGAAGTGGAGGTGACGTCCTTTACTGCTCTTTTTCTGGCCGGTTTCGGGGTCTCACACTAAGATCCCTCTGTTGGAGGAAGCTCTTAACTGGAATAGAGCATCTCTCGAGGATGCGGGCCACTACTTGGGCAGAGTATCTGGGATCTATCCGTTGGGTGTTGGGAGGTCTCTGGGTTCTTTTTCCCTGGATGGCTCAAAGGGAGTCTCTGTCCAGTGACATCCTAGAGAAGTGGGGTTTTTTGAGAAATCTCAGATTTGGCCTTAAAGCTTTCTGGGGTCTCTTGGGTATGGAACTCTGGTGTCTCCATCCAGGGAGGGGACATCTCTCTCTGGGAGTCTGCCTCTGGCTATCCTTGATGGGCGCCTGGGGGGCCACTGACCCCATCCCAATGCCACGCCCCCTCCCAGTACCTGGTGATGGAATACTACGTGGGCGGGGACCTGCTAACGCTGCTGAGCAAGTTTGGGGAGCGGATCCCGGCCGAGATGGCGCGCTTCTACCTGGCCGAGATTGTCATGGCCATAGACTCAGTGCACCGGCTGGGCTATGTGCACAGGTGGGCGTGGCAGAGCCCGAGGGGCGGGGCCCGAGGGGCGGAACCCAGAGAGGAATGGGGTGCTAGCTCAGAGGGGATGGGGTCTAGAGAAGGACCATTTTGGTGGGGCCCCCTGGAGGTGGGAGCTAGAAGTGGGGCCCAGTAGTAGACTCCATGCAGGGGCTGAACTGTTCAGAAGGGCGGAGCCTGGCTGGCTGGTGCCCAGGAGGCTCATGCCTCTGCTCTTAATTCTGAGCAGGGATATCAAACCAGACAACATCCTGCTGGACCGCTGCGGCCACATCCGCCTGGCGGACTTTGGTTCCTGCCTTAAGCTGCGGGCGGATGGAAAGGTGAGTGGGTGTACCTACTGCAGGGCAGCTCTGCCCACCAAGAAGACCACGAGTGGGCTCAGAGTGTGGTACGGGGTCAGACTTAGAAGTGGAGGGGGGTGTTCAGAAGCCAGTCCTGGGGCACAGGGTTAGACAGTACGGGGCATGGTTAGGAGGGCTGGGCTGGAGCCCACTGTGGTCCTGTCTGTTCAGGTGTGGTCCCTGGTAGCCGTGGGGACCCCAGACTACTTGTCTCCCGAGATCCTGCAGGCTGTGGGCGGCGGATCCGGGCCGGGCAGCTACGGGCCAGAATGTGACTGGTGGGCACTGGGCGTGTTCGCCTATGAAATGTTCTATGGGCAGACGCCCTTCTACGCCGACTCCACGGCTGAGACCTACGGCAAGATTGTGCACTATAAGGTGAGCGCAGGTCCCTGAAACCCGTCTGTCTCCCCAAGGCACCCACGCCAACTCTCTGTCCCTTTCTCTGGAGCAGGAGCACCTGTCTCTGCCTCTGGCAGACACGGGCGTCCCTGAGGAGGCTCGGAGTCTCATCCAGGGGCTCCTGTGTCCCCCGGAGGTACGGCTAGGCCGGGATGGAGCGGAGGATTTCCGGAAGCATCCTTTCTTCTTTGGCCTTGACTGGGAAGGCCTTCGTGACAGCGTGCCCCCTTTCACCCCGGACTTCGAGGGTGCCACTGACACGTGCAATTTCGACGTGGTGGAGGACGGGCTCACTGCCATGGTGAGCGGGGGAGGGGTAGGTACCTGCGGCCCTGCTTGGCTGAGGGAACCTGCCCATCCCTCCTGCTCACTGATGACAGTCTGCCACACTCATTCACTTGCTCGAGCATTGAATGCAGGGACCCAGTGTGACCTGAATCACAGTCCAGTCGCCAGACAGGGAGCTGTCACAGTGATCTGGGTTGAGAGGTGTTGGTTCAGTGGTGGGGCTCTGGACCCAGGTTGGAAGGTGCAACTGGGGACTTCCTGCAGGAGGGGGATCCGAGCCTTCCCTCTGACCTCAGCAAATTCTCCTGGAATGACTTTGGGCTGGGCACAGCACTGACCAAGTCATCCCTGGTCCCTGCAAAATATGATCTACCTACAGTCCAAGGAAGGCAGGATTCAGCTGGGGCACAGTGATGGTCACCTGTAGTCCCAGCATTCTGGGAGGCTAAGGCAGGAGGAGCACAGTTTGAGCCTAGCCTGGGCAACTTAAGACTGTCTCAAAATAAAAAATGAAAAAAGGGCTGAGGATGTTACTCAGTGTGAAGAGTCTGGGTTCAAGAGTAATTTTAGTCTGGCAAGGGCCCTGAAGGAAGACAACAGAATACACTAGAAAATTATGGAGGAACCATTTAATTAATTAATTACTATGTAGTTCAGACTGGCCTTGAGCTAACTACAATCCAGGCTAGTCTCAAACTCCTGGTAATCCTCCTGGCTCAGCCTCCTACAGGTGTGTGTCACCATGCCTGGCTGGAAGGGCCATTTTAGATGATCTTTGAGCTGGGTGAGTTGGGGGGAGCATTTAACCCAGGACCAGAAAAGGGGGCGGGGCCAGCCCTGACAGCTGCTGGTCCTGTCTGTGTCCCTTGTAGGAGACGCTGTCGGATATGCAGGAAGGCGTACCACTGGGGGTGCACCTACCTTTTGTAGGCTTCTCCTACTCCTGCTTGGCCCTCAGGTAAGCAGGCCTGAGCAGAGACTCCAGGACACCCAGGGCATCTGCAGGGTTGGTCTTGGGGTGAAGGGCTCTTAGGATCCCAGTTACAAATTCAATTGTGGATTCAATTGTAAAACCTCAGAACCTAGCTTTGGCCTTTGAGATTTTTAAAAATGTATTTAGGACATGGTCTACAGGGTCTCACTATGTAGATCAGACTTGTAGTGATTCTCCTGTTTTCAGCCTCCCAAGCACTGGGATTGCAGGAGCACTCCACCATGCCCAGTCTCAATCGCCCTCTCAGGGAATCAGGGGGTGGGGCCAGCACGGCCACTGTACTCTGCCTAAGCAGGCACTTTAATCTGCTGAGCTATCTGGCCAGCCTCTGCCTTTGGGAACCTTGCAGTTGTTGATGATTACATTTCAAGAGTCGTGGGACCTCATACTCTTGGAAAATAAGTTTAGACTTTTTATAATCAACTTTAACACAAACTCATTGAATCACTCATCTACCAATAAAACTTTTTTTTTTTTTTTCCCTGAACAAGGAATTGAACTCAGGCCCTTGTGGTTGCCAGGGAAGAGTTTATTCTACTGAACTATCTCCCCAGCCCCTAAAACCTTTTTAAAGCATAAGTTAATGTTTAACACAATCAGAAAGCATGGCTAAGAAGGAAGCGGCAGGGTTGGTCTTGAGGTCAAGGGCTCTTAGGAACCCAGTTACAAATTCAACCAAGCCCCCCACCTAGCAAGGCCGCTGGCTTACATGTGGCCAGCATGTGGTCCACATCGGTGATGGGCCAGGGCTGAGTGCAGGTGCAGGGTCACCTTGCTGAGAGGGGCCTCCTCCCTGGCAGGTTGGGTCGGAGCTCTCGCTGTGTGGGAGCCAGCAAGCTGGTCCTGAGCATGTCCAGGATACACAGGTCCTGAGGATATGCTCCATGGGAGGGACTGCTGGGTGGGAAGGGACACCACTTTTATTGCAATTTCATATTCCCCGGGGGCTGTGAAGAATGTCTTGATCTGGAGTCAGTTTTAGGATCCCACACCCAATTGTTTTTGTTTTTTAATGATAAGGTCTCCCTGTGTAGCCCAGATTGGCCTTGAAATCTTGGCAATCCTTTTGCCTCAGCCTCCTAAGTGCTGGCATGACAGGTTCACATATAAAACTAGTACTTTGAGCCAGATGTGGAGGCGCATGCCTGTAATCTCAGCATTACAGGAAGTTGAGGCAGGAGGATCATAATTTTGAGCCTAGTCTGGGTAACTTAGTGACTTAGAGACCCTGTATCAAAATAAAAACTTAAAAAAAATGGAGGCATATCTCAGTGGGACAATTCTAGGTTCAATTCTAGTAACACAGAGAGAGAGAGAGAGAGAGAGAGAGAGAGAGAGAGAGAGAGAGAGAATACCTGACATCTTTGGAGGTTTCCAGAGCTGGGCAGGGGCCCCTCCACAGGTCCCCCTCTCTGTTCTGAAGTTATAAGGATTTGATTTTTTTTTTTTTTCGGTACTGGGGATTGAACTCAGGACCCTGTGCTTGCCAGGCAAGCACTTAATCTACTGAGCTATCTCCCCGGTCCTATGAAGTCTTAAGGAGAAGGGCATGAACAGGGATGTCAAGGGAAGAGTCTTAAAAGATGGGCATCTGCACCTCAAGTTTTCACAGACAGGGCAGCTCCTAGGTGTTTTGTAGTGAGGAGAGGGCCTGTCTGTCACCCAAGCTGGCAACTAGTTCCCTTCCCCCCCCCTCCATCCTTACCCGTGGGGTGCTAGGAGCCACTGACGCATACCCACAGGCCCTCCTTCCCCTCTTCCCTTCCCCAGGGACAATGAGGTCCCAGACCCCACCCCCATGGAACTGGAGGCCCAGCAGTTGCCTGAGCCACATGTGCAGGTGCCCAGTATGGAGCCCACCAGGTCCCCACCAGAAGCAACAGTGAGTAGATAGAGGGGGCTGGCCAGGGACACATCAGAGAGGAAGCCAGGGCATCCTGGGTGGCAGCGCTGGGCATCACTAAGCCCTCTGTGAGGACGCAGGACAGAAGCAGCCAGCGAAACAGGGAGACAAGGCTCCTTCAGGGCCTGGTCCTCATAAGGAAAGCTATTTATTTATTGGATACTCATAGTAATCCTGCTGCCTCAGTCTCCCAGTGCTGGGGTTACAGGTGTGCACCACCACACCCTAAGGTACTGGGGGTCGGACTTGGGTACTTGCGAACTTGCGATTGCCAGGCAGGCGCTTAGACCGCTGAGCTATCTCCCCAGCCCCCTCCAAGGAAAGGGAATGGGCAGAAAGTAATACTGGGGAGCCAGCCATAGAGAGGGAAGAGGCCTGTGGTTAGTGAAGTTCAGGGCAGAGGCTGCTTTGCTGAAGTGACAAGAGGGTCCTGTGTGGGCACTGTTACTGGATAAGGGGAAAGGAAGAGACGAGAGATCAGAGCAGGCCTCCTGGTAAAGCAAGCCATGTCCTGAGCAGGGGAGCTGGAGGTGGGAGGGACAGGTCTCAGGGGTAGCCCTCTGGTTCCTGTGTGGACAGGAGGGGACCAGGCTAAAGCCTGGAGACGGCCACTCTAAGGGTAGGGGGTGGACGAGCCCTAGTGCACCAAGGGCCCAGGCCCCCCTAAACTGGTCTGCACTCGCAGGCTGAAGTGGCAGATCCACTGGCTGCCCCTGCAACAGAGGAGACAGCAGCAGGGGAGGAGGTGACCCTGCGGGAGCTCCAGGAAGCCCTGGAGGAAGAGGTGCGCACAAGGCAGAGCCTTAACCAAGAGCTGGAGGCCATCCGCGACACCAACCAGAGCTTTGCCAGGTGAGGTAGGGCTCGAGGCCCCTGGCGCCCTTGTAAGCCCCTCTTGCCCAGCTTCCCCGGGTTCACCTTCTGGGTCTCCCCGCAGTCAGCTACTCGAGGCAGAAGCCCGGAACCGAGACCTGGAGGCGCATGTTCGGCAGCTGCAGGAGCGGATGGAACTGCTGCAAGGCCCAAGAGCCGCAGGCGAGTGTCCCACCGCCCCGCTACCCAGAGCGCAGGGAGGTGGTCCTCAAGCGTGTACGACACCGCGGGAGGGTGGGGGCCAGGCTGGGGCACGCCGCGCCACCGCCCTCCTCCCCCACCCCTCCACGCGCCATCGCCTCTCTTTTCTCCTTCCAGCTGTCAGGGGGGTCCCCAGTCCCAGGGCCACGGATGCACCTTCCCATGTAAGAACCCTTTCTTTCCCCTGCCTCAGGCCTGCTACTCGCTTCCCTCTTCCCGTAAAAATTTAAGGCTCACCCTACTTCTCTGGGGTTCCAGAAGGCAGATGCCCTTCACTCAGCCCCACATTTGTCAGATCTCCCTTGATTCAGGGATTTCAACAGATCCATTTGGGGATCCCCAGAGATTCCCTCCCGGCTTCAATTTCCCTTGCTGCCCCTCACACCCCGCCCTGGGCGGCTGGGCTACTTTGGGCTCCCTTCGGGTCACCTGTCCCTTCTCTCTCCAGCTAGATGGCCCCTCGGCCGCGGCTCTGGGCCAGTGCCCGCTGGTGGGGCCAGGCCCCATGCACCGCCGCCACCTGCTGCTCCTTGCCAGGGTATGTCCCACACCTGCCGCCGCCGTGCCTCTGCATAGCTCGGAACACTCGGGCCACTACAGCTTAGCAGTGCCTCTGCGGGGCTCCGCACACCGCAGGGAGGGTGGATGCTCGGGCAGCCAATCACCGCGGCCGCTAGAAAACAGCCAATGAGACGTCCGATGGGATTTCTGGCTTGCGGGCCGACCAACTACTGTGAGGGGCGGGCGCAGGCTGGGGGATTGTGCGGCCCTTATACGGGTGTAGGCGGGTGACACGAGGGGCCCCTCAGGCTGAATGCCGACCTCGTCCTCCCGCCCGCAGGTCCCTAGGCCTGGCCTATCCGAGGCGCGTTGCCTGCTCTTGTTCGCCGCTGCTCTGGCTCGTGCCACCGCCCTGTGCTCCTTTGGGTTCGTGGCCCACGCCGGCCATCTCACCCCAACCTGGTGTTTCCCGGGAGCAGCCTTCGTCCCCTGAACCCTAGAACCCCAGGCCATCCTTGACTCAGGCCAAGTTGGAGGGTTGCATGACCCGGGGACAGTAGAAGCCGCTCTTAGTGCGTCCCGGCCCACCCACTTGGCCTTGGAGTCGGTGCCCTGCTCCAGTCCCGTGATCCGAGCCCGCCCCCTGGCGGCCGGGGAAGGAGGAGCTCCGGGTTTGTGACTGGCGAACGGGATTCGTGGGGTGGCTGGCGCCCAGGGATGCTGGTGGAGACACCGTCGGCCACCTCTTCCCCAAGCCAGGGTGAGGCCCCAGTGTGGACAAGCGGACTCGATTCTGAGAAGGCAGGAGGCCGGGGCGCGACCTCCCGATTGTCACGCTACACACACTCCACCCACCATCGGATCGCAAACCATAAATCCCCCGTGCGCATGAGCTCTGGGGGGAACGAGCTATTCCTGCGGCCTCCAGCCTCCTCCTGCTCTCAGGAATCTTGTGCTTTCGCAAGCCCTGCTTTTTCGGGGACTCCTGCAACCCCTTTCTCACCTACGCTGCTCTTGGAGTCACAGCCGGCTTCTCCGGCCTCGGTGGCTTGGATATTTATTGACCTTGTCCTCCGACCCGCTGACAGGCTTCCGGACCCCATCACCCTAATCCACGTTTTGGATGCACTGAGACTCGACATTCCTCGGTATTTATTGTCTGTCCCCACCTAGAACCCCACCCCCGACCCTCGCGAATAAAAGGCCTTGTCGTCTGCCCAAAGCTCTAGCCCCCGCGGTGTTCTGTAAGCGTGGTGGGGAGGAGGCTGCCAGTGCGCCAATCAAGAAGCGAGTACGGGTGGCCAATGGCCTGCTGGGCAGCTAGCGGGACGCAAGCGGGCAAATCACGGTAGGAGGAAGGAAAGATGGAGGCGAGGCTTCGCCATCTGACCAATAGGAGAGAAAGCGCGGGCCCACCCGGAGGCATCGCCCCCCGCCCAGCTGTGGCTCAGCTGTGCCACTCCGGCGTCCAGACGAAGGGGGCTGGGCCGGCAGCACGGCCATCCTTCTCATTGCGCCTGCGCAGGCCACGCGCATCCGCTCCTGGGACTTACGCTCAAGAAAAGTTACTGCAAACTTTCTAGCTCGTTTCCCCCTCCCCTCCTCCCTGCCAGACCCGCCCCCCTGTGGAGCCGGGAATTCCGAGGGGCGGAGCGCGCGCCTCGATGGGGAGTGGGGGGGCCCTGAGGACCCTGGAGGCGGAGGCGTGAAGAAGCTCAGTCTCGGAGTGGAGGCGGCTTCACGCCCTTAGGCCTCCTGGACTGCCCGTTACCTTCTCCGTGGTCCCGATGGGGAAACTGAGGCCCTGAACCAGAGGCACACGCGGGGGGAAGCAGAAAGAGCGGCCAGAGACGGAGGGAAAACAAAGGGAGAATCCCGGACAGACGGGGAGGGAGACGGACACACACACAGGGACAGAGACCCAAGTGGAGCGCTGGGTCCGGCTGTCGGGGAGGGGGGGTAGATTGGGAAACGGGGTGGGGTTGAGGGAGGGAGCTGGGGAAAGCCCGAGGGAGGAGGAGGAGGAGAAGGAGGGAGGAACTTCCCAAAGTTACAAAACATGGCTACCTTGCCTGCGGAGCCGAGCGCTGGGCCAGCGGCCGGGGGGGAGGCGGTGGTGGCGGCGGCAACCGAAGAGGAGGAGGAGGAAGCGCGCCAGCTCCTGCAGACTTTGCAGGCGGCCGAGGGTGAGGCGGCCGCGGCGGCCGGGGCCGGGGCGGGCGAAGCGGCTACAGGAGCTGAGGACTCGGGGTCTCCGGGTGTCCCCGGGTCGTCCCCCGAGGCCGCTGCTGAGCCGCCCTCGGGCCTCCGCTTCTCGCCAGAGCAGGTGGCGTGCGTGTGCGAGGCACTGCTGCAGGCGGGCCATGCCGGCCGCTTGAGCCGCTTCCTGGGCGCGCTGCCCCCGGCCGAGCGCCTACGTGGCAGCGACCCGGTGCTGCGCGCGCGTGCCCTGGTGGCCTTCCAGAGGGGCGAGTACGCCGAGCTCTACCGGCTCCTGGAGAGCCGGCCCTTCCCCGCCGCCCACCACGCCTTCCTGCAGGACCTCTACCTGCGCGCGCGCTACCACGAGGCCGAGCGGGCCCGCGGCCGCGCACTGGGCGCAGTGGACAAATACCGGCTGCGCAAGAAGTTCCCGCTGCCCAAGACCATCTGGGACGGCGAGGAGACCGTCTACTGCTTCAAGGAGCGCTCCCGCGCCGCGCTCAAGGCCTGCTACCGTGGCAACCGCTACCCGACGCCGGACGAGAAGCGCCGCCTGGCCACGCTCACTGGCCTCTCGCTCACGCAGGTCAGCAACTGGTTCAAGAACCGGCGACAGCGAGACCGGACCGGGGCCAGCAGCGGCGCGCCCTGCAAGAGGTGAGGGGACCCGTGCGGCGCATGTCCTGCCTTCCCGGGGACGGGACACTGCTTCTCACACCTTCGAGTCCGAGTCCGCGGCGCGCGGGGCGAGCGAGCGTGGTGGTCGGGCTCCCGCCTGGGCCCTGTCGCGCAAGCAGGCGCAGGCTCGGAGATGGATCCTGAGCTGCTGCGCTCGGGCTCCATCTCAAGCCTGTGTGTTCGGGACCACTGTGGGGGAGGCAGTGAGGAAAGTAGGGGCTGGGGAAAGGGGGAGGGGTCTTCCCCACCGCGCCCGGGTGTCGGCCGCTGGCTGGAGCCCTCCGTGGCCCGACCCCTCCCGGCCCGTTACTCCTCCCCACCCCCACACCCCCTCGGGCCGGGACAGCGTGGTCCCTGGCCTGCCTTTGTTGTGAAACGTGAACCTTCCCCGGCTCTGGTTTCCCTGTAACCCAAGCCCTTCCCCTCCCACCCAGTGTGCCCGGTCTGTTGGCCTCTGGGAGCTGCTCCCTTCTCTGAAGCCTCTGGAGGGGCACGCTGGGAACAGCCGGTGCCGCCACCTCTCCGGGCCACGCGCCTGCTGGCCCTGTCCGGTGCCCTGCGAGAGGCGGAGGTGGTGGAAGAGCAGGGAGCAGGGCCTCCTCGTGTGGCCTGCCAGCTGTAGCTCTCCACAGCGGTGCCAGTGAACACAGGACTTAGAGGGTGCTGTAGTGTCCTTGCGTGATTTCAGGAGGTTCTGTGACCCCTGAAGTAGGCCTCAAATGCTTGGGGGTGGGTGGGTGGTAGTGGTCAGCCTCTGCCCCTGGGGGAGGACAGCCTTCTGGAGCGCAGCCTAATAGCTCTTTCTCTACCAGCGAGTCTGATGGGAACCCCACTACTGAAGATGAGTCCAGCAGAAGTCCTGAGGACCTGGAGAGGGGGGTGGCCCCAGCAGCTGCTGAAGCCCCCGCCCAGAGCTCCATATTCCTGGCAGGGCCCAGCCCTCCTGCTCCATGCCCAGCCTCCTCCTCCATTCTGGTGAATGGGAGCTTCCTGGCTGCCAGCAGCTCCCCTGTGCTCCTCAATGGCAGCCCTGTCATCATCAACAGTCTGGCCCTGGGCGAGGCCTCCAGTTTGGGCCCCTTGCTGCTCACAGGTGGAGGGGCTGCTGCTCCACCACAGCCCAATCCCCAGGCCACTAGTGAAGCCAAAACCTCCCTGGTCTTGGACCCTCAGACCGGTGAGGTTCGGCTGGAAGAGGCTCAGTCTGAGGCTCCTGAGGCTAAAGGGCCCCAGGTGGCTGCTTCAGTGCCCACTGGAGAGGAGGTCTCAGGGCCCCTGCCCCAAGTGGTACCTGGCCCCCCACCTGCAGCCACTTTCTCTTTGCCCCCAGGACCAGTGCCCACAGTGGCTGCCCCCCAGGTGGTGCCATTGTCCCCACCCCCCGGGTATCCCACAGGCCTGGGTGCCACCTCCCCACTGTTGAACTTGCCTCAGGTTGTGCCCACCTCCCAGGTGGTGACCCTGCCCCAGGCTGTGGGGCCACTGCAGTTGTTGGCAGCTGGGCCAGGCAGTCCTGTGAAGGTGGCAGCTGCAGCAGGCCCTGCAAATGTGCACCTGATAAACTCTGGGGTGGGCGTGACTGCTCTGCAGCTGCCTTCGGCCACTGCCCCAGGTACCCCTTTCTTCCTCCCTTGGGCCTGGGAGGAACTGGGGGAGGGGGAATATCTTACCCTTGGCATGTCCCTGTGCCCTCTGTGCAAGGCTTAGTGCCATTTGGCTTCACCTCGAGGGGCTCCACTTGTTGCTTCCAGCCCTAACCTCCTCTTCTCCCCACAGGAAACTTCCTCCTAGCCAACCCCGTGTCTGGCAGCCCCATCGTCACAGGGGTGGCAGTACAACAGGGGAAGATCATCCTCACTGCCACCTTCCCTACCAGCATGCTGGTCTCTCAGGTCCTGCCACCGGCCCCCAGCCTGCCCCTGCCCCTGAAGCCAGAGACGACCATCTCAGTGCCTGAAGGAGCCCTCCCAGTGGCCCCCAGCCCCGCACTCCCAGAGGCCCACGCCTTGGGCACACTTTCTGCTCAGGTGCCGCCACCCCCAGCTGTGGCCACCTCTGTGGCCAGCCTGCCCTTCTCTTCAGACTCCTCCAGCCTCCTGCCCAGCTTTCCTGCACCACCAGCAGAAGGTCTCATGTTGTCACCTGCAGCTGTGCCTGTCTGGTCAGCAGGGCTAGAACTGAGTGCAGGAGCAGAGGGGCTGCTAGATGCAGAGAAGGGGCTGGAGACGCAGGCCCCCCACACCGTGCTGAGGTTGCCCGGCCCAGACCCAGAGGGGCTGCTCCTGGGGGCCACTGCAGCTGCCGAGGTGGACGAGGGGCTGGAAGCAGAGGCCAAGGTTCTGACCCAGCTGCAGTCAGTGCCTGTAGAGGAGCCCTTGGAACTGTGACCCGCTGCCTTCACTCAGGCTGCTTGTGACAATGGTGCTCAAGATGCAGGGACAGGATGGGGGAGAAGGGACTCTCGCAGGCAGTTGTCATGACCCGAGGGTCCCCTATACACTACATCCCTTCAGCCTGGAGAGCCCCTCCAAGGTCTAGAGGTGTCAGATGGACCTCCCCGTCTGCCCCCTGCCTGGGGCACTATCATGCTGTGGAGGGGAGGACTCCTGTACAGCCCTCTCCCTGCCGTGCCATCTGATAGGGGAAACTTGGAGGTCCTGGCCCAGGGGCTCTGCCCTTCTGCATCTGGTACTAGCCCTGAACTGAAAACCTGCCAGATGGCTGGAGTTCCGCCCCCACAAGCATGTGCCCTCACTCCTGGCACTATTCATAGTTCTGCTGTTACCAGTATACTCGGAACTGCTGAGACTTTGAGGATGGAGAATGCAGTCTTGGGCCCAGAGACTGAGACCTCCCTGGCTAACCCTTTGTAGAAGGGTGAGGCCTTCCTTTACTCCCCTGGACTTAAGCCCTCACCATCACCTCTAGCCCCAGACCAAAGATTCCCTCAATGGGGGAACCCAGGCCCCATGTCTAGTTTGTATCCTAAATCTCTATTTTTCTAGGACATGTTATGCCTCCATTTCAATTAAAAGTAAGAGACCACAGAACTTGCGAAGGACTTGCTGAAGGAAAACAGGATCTGGAAACCCAGTTTGCCATGGTGGCTTCTGGCCATTGCTTCCTGAGGGTTCATGGACCTGTACGCTGGTGCCTTGTGGGCAGGTTTACTTCAGTGTAGGTCTAGGCCGGTGTTGGGGGGGAGGGTGCCCCTGGGGGAGGGTACAGGGGGACAGAGGGAGAGCCTTCTCTTGTCTCCTTTGCTGGCAACAAGGGTTTCAGTTGCTTTATTTTGTTTAAAACAATAAATAGTTTTTAAATAGAACTGGGAAGGAGGAGGGAGGTGTGAATGAAGACCAGTTCATATGGGGGGGGGGAAGGGAGGGTGCTGGGGAGCCCCTGCTCATGAACTTGCCCTGCAGCATTTCATCTGCCCACCTGGGGGCTCCTCTGCCACTGCAGGGTGGGGAGGGCAGTCGCCCGACACAAGGCAAAACACAAATACAACTCGCCCTGTCTCTGGCAACTGGCTGGGGCCTAAGACAAGGGTTGAGGTTGGGTTGGGACAACCTCACCAACACAGGCTCCTGGTTTCAAACAAGGCTGCAGGAGCTGCGCAGGGCATCTGCCCTCAGTCATGCTGAGGGGCTGAGGGCTCATCTGGGTCCTGGGCAGCTCCCAGTTTCTCAGCCAGCAGCTGGTGGAAGGGCTTGGGGATCTCCCCAGCTTCGTCCTCACTGTCGGAGCTGTCCTGCTTCACGATGCGGTTGTGCTGGCGGCTGAACCTTCGAGCCTTGACACTGGGGAGAAAGGAGGCCAAATAGGACACCCCCTCATTCAGCTCCCCATCTCTGTCCCACCCCAACCCTTTGGCCTCAGCAGCAGCCATGTTCTGGCCCAAGGGGAGACCAGGGTTTTAGCCCAATTGGGCTAACCTGGGGCCTCCAAATCCTGATCGCTCAGACTTTTGGACTCAGCCAAGAGGCCTTTGCTGGAGCCTACACTCCTGGGATGAGGCTGGCAATTGTGAGACACACCTGTTTCCACTGCCACCTCAGACTCAAGCAGGCACCAGCCCCTTGGAGTTGGTGAAGAACAAGGTGTCGGAATTGGAGAGGGACAAGAAGCCAAGCATTGGGAAAGAAAGGCCACGCTCTGAGGAGCCAGCTCCATGTGGCACAGAAGACAAAAGAAACAGGGCAAGAGTCCAGGTTCCCATGAAGCTGTTGCTCCTTCGCTTCAGGGGGCACCTTGACCTACATCACTCCCAGGTCTTTTGTAAAAGTGTGACAACAAGCCAGGTATAGTGATGCACTGTAATCCCAGTACTCAGGAGGCTGAGGCAGGATGACTGCTGTGAGTTCGAGGCCAACCAGAGTTCCATAGTGAGAGCAACGCCAGCATGAGCCACATAGCAAGACCCTATCCTTTTTTTTTTTTTTTTTTTTAAATGTATTTGGTACAGGATCTTGCTATGCAGCTCAGACTCATAATGATGCTCCTGACTCAGCTTCCCCAGTGCTGAGATTATGGGCTTGTGCCACCACACTGGTCTCAGTGGCTGGCTCAGTTCACCCAGGGGTGGGGTTGGTGTTGTGGTGCCAGGGATGGAACCCCAGTCCCTGAGCTTGCATAAGCAGGTGCTTAGTCTACTGAGCTATCTTGCCTGCCCGCAAGACCCTCTCTCAAAAAATAAAGTAAATAAATAAAAATTTTTAAAAGACAAGCAACCCTTAGCGGGGTAAACCTGCAGCCTGCTTCCAACACCATGAGGCACAAGGTTGTGAATATGAGGGGACAGTTAAGGGTCAGAGTGGTCCCTGCTGGTTGGGCGGGGGCTTCTCACCAGTATGGTTTCCGCTCCTTCGGAGTCATCACCCGCCACAGCTGGGCCAGCTCCTTGGTGGCTACTGTAGATGCTGTCCCAGGGCAGGCTCTGGGCCAGGAAGGAGGGGGAAAGGAGGTCAGGGGCAGCCTCTGGGGTATGGTGGCTTGGGTGGGGCCCATGTGGCTGGCAAGGCCTCTAGGAGCAAGGGTCTAAGAAGGAAGTGCACTTTAAATAGCCGTTCTCAAGGGAGGACCCAGGGGTGAAAGGGCGTACAGGGACCCTGTAGCCACTGCTCCCCCGGCCAACTGGCACATGATCTTCCTGGGAAGGAAGCAGCTCCCCTGCTTTGGCTCTGGTCCTGCACTGGCTGGGTCAAGCTTGGGCCCCTGATCTATCAGAATTGATTCTAGGAGGCTTTATTTGACACTTTAGAGATAAGAGCTGTCCTTCCCTGGAAGGCTGCTGGAGTAGCAGCCAGGACCTGAGCAGACACTCCTGGGACCACTCTGCCACCAACATGCTGGAGAATGAAGCCAGCCCAGGAGAGGGGCAGAGGCCCTAGGCAGCACTGTTCCAGCCTTGCATCTGAAGGCAAGTACACCTGCCTCTTTGCTTCGAGTGACCTAAGCCTTGCATTTCCTTTTCCCTCAAGTCTGGGGTTTGAGTTGGGTTGCCCTGCACACAGTAGAAGCCGCTGCTGTGTTAACAGTCGGGAGAGATTGGTGGCTGTGGAAGGGTGAGTAGGCTCCAGGAAGGGGCAAATGGCTCACAGCGGTGTAGGGGGCCAGATGCTCTGGAGATTCAGACATTGAAGGTAGGGTGGGTCCTTATGCAGGGCCACTGATGACCTCTACCCACCGGATATACGGTTTCCGGTTCATCCTGCAGAACATGATGAAGCCGTTGACACACTTCTTCTTCACCTGGGGAGCACAGGGGGCTTTCTTGTTCTCTTTGGGCTTCACGGGGACCTTGCTGGCTGGGACCTTACTGCCCTTCCTCCCAGCGGTAGACAGGGTGGGCCGCTGGGTGGGGCTCCATGTGTCCGTGTCGTCCTCATCCTCCTCCTCACTGGAGGACTGCAAGCTCTCGGCCTGTGAGTCCTGAGAGAGGCAAGGAGGTGAGCGAGGACCGAGAGGCCCATCCGACCTCGGAAGGTGGCCATCCCTCTCACCTCTTCGTTTTCCAGCGGGGAATCTGTGTCAGTGTCACAGTTGGGGCCAGACAGTGCCCTGTTGGTTTCGCTCTTCGAAAGGTAGCAGTGGTCCAAGGAGACTGAGGCCTGGCATCGGCTATAGAAGTCAGGGGAGACTTCGGGGGCCTTCGCGAGGGCATCCTGGGCAGGGTGAAATAAAGATGGGGGCATCTTCCCACACACTGATTTTCCGGGGTATAACTTGAATGTTAGAAACCCTCATTCCTCATCACAGCCCTTGGGGCATGGAAGCAAATGTCCTTAAGTTCCCACAGGGAGCAGAGGGACTAGATGGGCACCTTCAGTACTCTGGACAAGTCTTAACTTCCCTGAGCATCGATTTCATCTGTGAGGCAGTGGTCACAGTGCAGGCCTCGACGGGTCGAGAAACACGCCCTATAGCACTGGTACTTACTAAGAGCTCTGCTGATGGCGCCTGTTTTTGTTTTGACTGCCCATTTAGCTATGCATGGAGGCAACACTGGAGGAAGAAGGGGCCAGAGCTGGTGGGGCTGCCACTCAGACACTGGGATCCTGGAGTGCACAGGGGTGCGTGGTTAGCCAGGGCCCAGCAGGAGGCCATCTTGGCTTTGGTCTCTATTCTGACTGAGGACTCTTGGGGTCTTTCTCCAAATGTTAGTGTCTGCATGTATGAAATGAGGCCACAGGTGCCCTGGTTTATGGAGCAGCTGTACCACTGTGCAGACCCTGCTGGTTGCTGCTAGTGTTCAAGGAGGGCAGGGTACAGAGGGCAGTGGGTGTGGGTGGATGAGGATGAGCACAGGCAGGCGCGGACAGAGAATGGCCTGGCTGGGGCCCTAAGGTTGAGGGCAGTCACACATGAAGAGGGTGTGGGTAGATGGGATCTACCTGCTGGGGATCCACAAGCATGCAGGCAGACGGTGGGGACATGGGATCCAGGAGCACGTCTTCAAGGAGACCTGTGGGAGCCCAGAGGCTGCTGGAAAGGAAATGCTCCCACCCGTGCTTCCCCCTTCACCCTCTCTGGCTTTCTGCTTTGGGGTCCCTACCCCAAATCCCCTCACAGGCTGGCTCTATAGTCCCTTGCAGAGTGTGAGGCTCTCTGCTTCAGGCTCCTAGAACCTTGCCTTTGCCACACAGCCTGGGAATGCCCCTTTGCTGGGCTGTCACCCGGGAGTCTAGGCCTGATACACAAGCCTGAGCAGTTGGTGTCTCTGACTTGTCAGTGAGCTCAGTGTGTGGTCTTGGCCTGGAGGCTCACCTTGGGTCAAAAACATACTGTCATCCTCCAAGATGTGTTGTGGCAGCTCTTCATTCAGGGAACTGAAGAAGGAAGGGCTGAGTCCTAGGATCTTGCTCGGGTGGTCTGTCGCATTCCAGGTAGGGACCTGGGCAGGTGATAAGGCCAGTAGGCTCTCTGAAAAGGAAACACACAACTCAGGAGTACAGTCAGAGCTTGTCCTGTCTCTTGCTGCAGCAACTGGAAGACACAGGAAAAGTGACTGTTACATTCTCATTTGGAGCTCCACAACTTTTATTTCATGGTAGAGGAGATCAAGAGGTATGATGCGTGGTGCTCTATCAGGTATGGTGTGCGCGCGCACACACACACACACACACACACACACACACACACACACACAAATTAGTACCATGATGTGCCAGATCCAACAGATGGACTGTAGCTCCCTGCAACTCTGTCATAAGAAAGAGTCTAAGGTAGTGTCTGGGCTCAAGGCATAAAAGTGATGACTGTTTAGCAATGTCTGTCACCGGTGGTGGAGTGACAGTAGGTACAGTGCATTTGCTCTCCCTGGGCTTAGCAGATCTCAGCTTCTCCTCTGCTATAGGAACTTTCAGGAAGAAGTGGAAAGAACCCAAAGCCTACAAGGAGGAGAGAGAGAGCTTTAGTCACCTTGGGAGCTCTCTGGGGTACAGACAGGAAGCCAAGGGTCAGCACCTCGGATTTCCTTGTCCTCCTCACTGGACTCATAGGAGATCATCTGCTGCCTGTAAGAGGTAGAATAAAGAAGCAGACAAAGAGGCCTGGCCAGGGGTGTCTGTGCAATCCCTTTGGGTGTTCGTGTGGCCAAATGTGTGCTGGCTTGGCGCAGCTTCCTTGGCTGAGGCTCCTGACCTCAAGGAGCTTCACATCTTGTGAGGAGAGGTGAGCAGATAAACAGGGGTCATCAGTGGGCCTGGGGATGCCTGTGATGGAGGGCTTCTGAGAGGCTGGGAGGGCAGGCGGGGAGGGGTCTGTGAGCTCAGCCTGCAGGATGGATAGCTGTTCACGTGGACCGGGGAGAGGGCTGTGTAGGAAGAGGGACCAGAGCGCCAAGCTCATGGGGTCAGGGCACAGCTCATGTGGGGACTTGGGAATATTTCATGCTCTTAAATATAAGATTCATGGGCTAAGGGTAGGAGAGAGGCTGACATGACAAGGTGGGGCCACAGAATATCTCCTTGCCATTAAGATCTGGACTCCACCCGGTAGGCACAAAGAAAGGCTTTGGGTCACAATAGACATAGTCAAAGACTACATCAGAAGTCAGTCAAGTGAGAAAAGGCTGGAAGGATGAGGCAGGAGTCAGGGAGGCCAGTGTGGAGGCTGTAGTCACAAGATGGGGGGTCAGGCTTTTCTGTGTGTGCACTGGCAGAGGACAGAAACTGGCCTCATACTCATAACCTTGCAGCCACACCCCGACCACAAGGCTCAGCCCACCCACTAGTGCCCTTGGGTTTCCTCTACCTGGGATAGAACGGTGTCTCATCGAGGAAACAGATCATTCTATCCCTGCTCGCATTCTCAACGGCAGGGCCAGGCTCATCCTCCTGGAGCTCATTTGGAAAACAGTAGCCTGTGGGTAAATCAGGGCGACCACAACTGTGCGTTGGCTCAGGGGACGGAGAAGTGCCAGGGTCTGCCACCCAGCTTTCCCTCACCCAGCCAACTGCTCAGGCTTCAGGAGCTCTGTGTGAGGCTGGATACCCGGATCACACCCACATTTCTCAAGGCTCACATGCTTATCAAGAGTGACCATGATGATATATATATATATATATAATCTTTAAGTGGAATAAAGCCACTGATAGCAAACAAGTATCCATTTCTTACTTTGACCAGGCTACTTTAAACACTTTGTATCCTATTCAATCCTTTGCTGAAGGGCACTGTTATTAACCCTGTTGGTAAACTGAGGCATAAATAGATTAGTGTAACTTGTTGAAGATCACACAGCTGGTAGCAAGATCTGTGAAGCCCCTTCTGAGCCCCAGGCTGGGACAAATACCTCTGCTGGACCGCCAGCCTTCAGAGCAACCCCAAGACCTCAGGCTCTCCCCTTCTTAGCATGGGAGATTCCTTCACTGCACTGTGAACTTGATCCCTTGATGGGTCCCAAGCCACTTACACATGGGTTGGCCCCAGGGGAAGTGGTCAAAGAATAAGCGCTAATGAATGAGCAGTGGAGCCAGCTGCCCAAGCTGTGGTGCCACCATAAGCAGGACCTTGAATTCATGACCCCTCCCGCTCTCCTGTCCAGTCCCTGCTAGACCCATCCTCACTCCTGCCCAGCAGATGCAGCAACCCCAGTGGGGTCACGAGAAAGGGGCTGGCTGCTTCAAGGGAAGCCTGAAGAGGAAGTGCTGCCTTATTCACTGTTCTAAACCTGAAGCTATCGCAGGAGGGTGACCTTGATCTTGTCCTTCCCTTTGACCCATGACAGAGCCTAATAAGAAATCTAGGAGCAGGATCATACGCCGTGAAGTGACAAGTGGTGTCTGCCCTGCTGCACTCCCGCTCCCAAGTACTAGGACCGTGTCTGCATAATAGCAGGTGCCTGGGAAGCAGCACCACTTAGTTCATCATGAAGAGACCAACTTGTGATGTCATCCAAGTTGATGTCATCGGCCAAATTCAGCAGTATCAACTGGGCTCCCGCTTCTCCATCTCCATCTCCTTCTTGAGACGAGGCCAGGGCAGTCTTGGGGGGATCACAGGCATCAGGGCACCTTGGAGGGGTGGTGGTCCTTCCCATGTTTTCTTCTTTCTGATCGGAGAATGTCACCAGCTTCTTAGGTGTGTCCAGAGCCAGAAATCGGCGAGACTTCTGGGACCCGGTCTGCAGTTCTGACAGAGCAGAGACAGGTGTCAGGTGTGCCTCAGGTGGGGCCTCCTGTGCTCTGTGCAGATACTCTTTCAAAGCTTTCTCAGAGCTAAGGCTATTGCTCAGTGGCACCGCACCTGCCTGGCAAGCACAAGCAAGGTCCTGAGTTCAATTCCTGATATCAAAAAATAAAAGCTTTCTTTGAAAAATAAAGAAAAGCTTTGAGTCAGGCATAGTGGCACATGCCTATAATCCTAGCACTAGGGAGGCTAAGGCAGAAGATCACCGTGAGTTTGAAGCTAGTGTGAGCTACAAAGAAAGACCCTGTCTCAAAAACAAAAATGAACAAACAAATAAACAAGCAACAACTTTCTCTGGCTTGGTCTCTCCCCACTGTTCTGGGCATGCCCAGATCCTCAAGTAGAGGTCACTTACTCCAACCTCTGTCCACACACCTTCTGGGCCCTAGAAAACAAAATGTGCAGTTGGTCTCATATTCCTTCCAAGACCAATGACACCTGCTGTTCTGGGTATGAGGCACAGACAGGGATTTTTTTCAAACCATTCCAGGTGATTCAGAAGTGCAGCCAGGGTTGGAAGTCAATAGTCAGGTCCCCTTTTGCAGACACGGAAGCTGAGGCTAAACAGGGTAAGGCAGAAGTAGCAATGCAGGAGCAGCATGGAGGCCTCTGCACTTGGGCCTTCCGCCACCACATGCCCCTGCTGCCCTGGCCCAGGAATGAGGGTGGAGCACATGGACAGCAAATAACAACAGCAGCACCCGTTCCTGGGACCTGACCAGTGCCTGTCAGAAGTGCTGCTTCAGCAGACTGTGTGCGACCTTTTACACCCTGAGATCAACCCACAGTGGGACTGATTTCTCAGTGAGGACTCAGAGGCTCAGAGAAGAACTTCCCATCTGAGGCTCCGGCACTTCTAGTAGGAGGAGCAAGGAATAGCCCCCAGGGTGACAGCATCCCTGGGAAAGGACCCAGCTTCCATTTCAGTCCTGCTCTCTGCTCAGCCTCCAATCCGCTGAAGGCCTGTACCTGATGCTGTTCGGGTCAGCTTCTTCTTCCGGGGTTTCTGATAGGCCCCCCAAAGGTGGGAGTTCTGAGAGCATTGAGAGCTGGGTGGGGTGGAGTGTCTCTGCCTGGCTGGGCCTGGGGCTGGATTCCAGCCCAGTCCTGCTGGGATGGAAGAGACAGGTCAGAGCCCCCACCTCATCCCTCCTACTCCAGTCCATCTCCTGCCCGCCAGACAACACCCACAGCCTCCATCCAGCTGGGTGAGTTCCCAGGCTGACTCTGCTCCTCAGGGCGACTACACAAATGTGGAGACTGATGTCATGGGAAGCAATCGGATTTGCCTGTGGTTGCACAGCCAAGAGGCAGAAGGACACTGTGAAACTCAGGGCTCCCCAGAGTGCTTCTGGGCCTTGGCAAAGAGGATGAGCAGGCCCTTTCCTTCCCAGATGCCTGGTCCTCTTCTCTACTCCAAACCTGTTCCTCTTTCCAACCTCCTCAACCCAGTGCTGCCCCTATCCCGGGGCCCTGCAAAGTTTCTTCATCCAGTGTACCCACTTTTGTGCTCATTCTCAGCTCAGGTGCTAGCTCAGGCCTCACTGTCTTTTGACTAGGAACACTCCTAAAAGGATTTTCTCCTCTGGATTCCAGCTTCTCCCTTAATAACCAATCCTCTACACTCGGTGTTGGGGACTTTGTTCTAAAACAAACAAAGCCCCTCAAACAAAGTCTGATCATGACTTTTCCTTGTTTAAAATCCTTCAATAAGGATGTAGGATGTAGCTGGATGGTAGAGATCTTGCCTCACATGGACAGGGCCCTGGGTTCATCCCAGCACCATTTAAAAATATGTATAGAGGGGCTGGTGAGATGGCTCAGTGGTCTAAAGCACCTACTTAGAACAAGCTAAGCTAAGCAAAGCACAGGGACCGCGGTTCAATCCCCCAGCACCACATGCCAGCCAGCCCCGCCCCCTGGTGGGCTGAGCTGGCCACACACACACACACACACACACACACACACACTAAATAAATAAATAAATATTTTTTTAAAAAAATATGTATAGAGGGGCCAGTGAGATAGCTCAGTGGACTAAGCACCTGCACAGGCAAGCGCAAGGACCAGCGTATGATCCTTGACACCACATGCTGTGCTGGCCCTGCCCCCTGGTGTGTTGAGCTGGCCACTGAGACCAGGTGTGGTGGCACACACCTGTAATCCCAGCGCTTGGGAGGCTGAAAATAGGAGGGTCACTACAAGTCTGAGCTGCGCAGTGAGACCCTTGGGGAGACAGCTCAGCAGTCTAAGTGCCTGCCTGGCAAGCACAAGGACCCAGGTTCAATCCCCAGTACCACATACTGTGTGATCTACCAAAACAGCATGGTGGTGCACACTTGTAATCCCAGTGCTGGGAAGGCTGAGACAGGAGGTTCACTATGAGTCTGAGCTGTGTAGTGAGCCTCTGTACCAATAAATAAATACATAAATGATCTTTTAAAAAATTAAAAGTAGGGGCCGGGCAGATAGCTCAGTAGAATAAGCGCCTGCCTGGCAAGCACAGGATCCTGAGTTTAATCCCTGGTACCACAAAAAATAAAAAAAGAAAAGAAAAATATATACAGTGTACACATCCTTCAGTAAATCTCATCCTTCCTATTTTCCTCTACAGCTGTACATCAGAAGCCCTTTAGCACCTTGTCCCTGCCCCCCTCATCCTGCCAAACTCCTCCAGTTTCATTTCCCGCCATCTTGTCTGTGTATTTTATGTTCCAATGACAGGGACGGCCCTGGACACATGCAGTATGGCTTTGGGTGGCAGTGCACAGGCACTGTCTTACATTTGAGTAGACTAATGCACTTAATCCCCATGACAAGCACAGAAGTGCTGGTGTTGGCTGCATTTCACAGATGATGGAGCTGAAGCACATAGAGGCAAAGTCACCAAGATGCATCTGCATCAAAACCTGGCTCAGGGGGCTGGTGAGATGGCTCAGTGGTCTAAAGCACCTACTTAGAACAAGCTTAGCAAACCACAGGGACCGCGGTTCAACGCCCCAGCACCGCATGCCAGCCAGCTCCGCCCCCTGGTGGGCGGAGCTGGCCACGCGCGCGCGCGCGCGCGCGCGCGCGCGCACACACACTCACACATAAATAAAATTAAAAAAAAAAAAAAAAAAAGAACCTGGCTCAGGAGCCTGCTTAAGACCTGTCAGTGCTATCGGGTCCCTCCACTCACTACTCATGGCTGGGCTGTGCCCAGACACTGCACATGCACCTGGCTGTTCCTGCTTGTGTTATTCCTTTGATCCGCCAGGGTCCTCCTTTTTCCTAGTGTCCTTGAAGCGCCACCTCCCCCTGCAGCCCCCACAGCATCCTGCATCCCTTTCGGATGCTTCTCATCTGCCAAACTATGAATCCTGGGGGCAGAGAGGAGAGCTAGACTCATCTAGGCTGCTGGGATTTGGCTCTTAACAGGCACCAGGAAATGTTGGCAGAACTACTTACCCTCAAGTCCACCTTCCTCATTGCTGAGGTAGAATTTGAGGAGGGCCTTGACCACATTGATGGCTCTCTGAAGGTACTGTATGTAGTGCAGGACATGCAGCAGAATCTCCTTCTGCCTCCAAAAGAAAGACTGGTGAGCACAGGAGCCAGGGCTCAGGGCTCCTCACCTGCCCCTTGCTGCTGGGAGAGCTGCTCCTATTGTTTTATTTTGAATTACTGGGAGCTGAATCCAGACAGCATTCAGCTACAGCCACCACCGTTTTTATTTTTTACTTTGAGACAGGATTTCATAGGTTGCCCAGGCTGGCCTTAAGCTTATTATCCTCCTGCCTCAGCCTCCTGAGTAGCTGAGGTTACAAGGTGTGTACCATGACATCCAGCCTTATCCTTCTGGTAAGCCCACACTGTGATCCAGTATGATACAGGGTACAGCTGAGGAAACTGAGTTTCAGAGCACTCAAGGAGACCTGAAGAGTGAATTCAGCTTAGCCTGCCTCCTGGACCAGTTTTTTTGGGACATACTGCTCAGCTCTGGCCACTGGCCCTTTGCTCATGCTGTATTTCTTTTCTGCGAAGCCCTCTTCTTCACCTGGTAAGTCCCTCCCACCACCTCTCCTTCCTCTTAGTCTCTTCTCCCAGCACTGTGTCTCCTCCCTGACCTGTCTGGCAGAGACTGGGTCAGCTGCCCCTCCTCAGCGCTCTGGTCACTCCAGGCCTGTGCCCATCTCTGAGGTATTTGTCACACTGTTTTATTTACTTCTATTTTTTTTCTGGCGGAACCAGGGATTGAACTCAGGACCCTGCGCTTGCCAGGCAGGTGCTTACTCTACTGAGCTATCTCCCTGGCCCCTGTCACATTGTTTTATTTTATTTTATTTTAAATTTTTTTATAACTTTATTTACTTATTTATTTAGTGTGTGTGTGGCCAGTTCAGCCCACCAGGGGGCGGGGTGGCTGGCATGTGGTGCTGGGGATTGAACGCGGTCTCTGCTTTTGCTTAGCTTAGCTTGTTCTAAGGAGGTGCTTTAGACCACTGAGCCATCTCACCAGCCCCAGTCACATTGTTTTATAATAATCTCTTGATGTGTTGTTCTCTTCACTGACTCTAAACTAGTTGGGGGTGAGCCTGTGGCCACTTGGGTTCTGTGCCCCACGCACACAGAATGCAAAGGCTGTTACGCCAGGGCCTGAAGGAATGGCTGTCCCCGCAGCGCACAGCAGAATCCTCTTGCCCAGTGGGTGGCGTCTCCACACCAGTCAACAAATGCCTTCTAAGTTGCTATTGGAGACCCAAAGCTACTTTGAATACTACTCGTGAAAGGCCAGGTACATCGTGATAAGAGATATGCTTCATTTGCCTTCAGACGTTACAGTCAAGGGACAGCCTAATCACTTCACAAATCACTCAAAATTATTAACTGCAATAAGCATTATGAATAAGAGTATGGGGGGGTGTCTGGGGCCAGCCAGATAGCTCAGTGGACTAAAGTGCCTGCTTAGGCAGGTGCAGCAACTGGGGTTCAATCCCTGGTGTGCAGTGCTGGCCCCGCCCTTGGGGCACCCTGAGATGATGGCTGAGACTGGGCGTGGTAGTGCACACCTGAAATCCCAGCACTTGGGAAGCTGAAAACAGAAGGATCGCTACGAGTCTGATCTGTGTAGTGGGACTCTATAGAGCCTGTATTAAATACAGAGAGAGAGAGAGAGAGAGAGAGAGAGAGAGAGAGAGACAGACAGACAGACAGACAGACAGACAGAGTGAGTATAAGATCTGGAGAGATGCCAGCAGAGTATAAGATCTGGAGAGATGCTCAGCAGCACGGGTGCCTGCCTGGCAAACTCAAGGTCTCGAGTTCAATCCCTGCTCCTACATGCTTTGTGGCCCTGGAACCAAGTGTGGTGGTGCACGCCTGTAAACACTCGAGAGGTTGAGACAGGAGGATCTCTGCAGGTTCGAGACTTGGCCTTGGGGCTACAAAAAGTGAGCACAAGGCCAGCTTGAATCACATAATGAGACCCTGTCTCCAAAAATACAAAAATAAATTTAAAGATTTTTTTAAAGGGGTTGGGGAGATAGCTAGGCAGCATAAATGCCTGCCTGGCAGGCACAAGTTCTGGAGTTCGATCCCTGGTACTGCATGCCATGTTGGTCCCAGAAGCACAGGGCCAGCCCAAACTGCATAGCGAGACCCTGTATCCAAAAAATAAATACTTTTTAAAGAAATGAATAAAAGTATACAACAGGGGATTCCAGAATTAGGCCTCTCTGAAGAAGCAGCATTTAGGAATTAACCAAGTGAAAAGGTAAAGGAAAAACACCAGTAAATATTCTGTGAATCAGAGTAGTAATAATCTTCCAACCCTAAGCCAGGAAATAGGGTCTTCTGACTTCTGAGGGGTCATAGGTGAAATTTCTATAAAATATGATGCATCCAGATGCTCACTGATGTGACTCAGCATGACCTACAACAGGAGGCTGTCATCTAACTAAGTGATCTAAGAAATGCATGTGACACAGGCAAGCGAACACAAGCTCTGAAGGACGTGGATCCTATCTGCCATTTCTGACTGTGTCAAGAACTGTGTCACTGACTTTGCCAGGCCTTGATTTTCTCATCTGTACAGTGGGAATGAGGATATTTGGTTAGGCTCAGAGTATTATTGTTAGGACTAAACAAATGAGTGTGTGAAACTGCCTAGCAGAGTGCATCTGATACACTACTTAGCTACTAAGTGCGTAGTTGAAGGCAGGCACTGTGGTGCACACCTGAATCCCAGCACTCGGGGAGGCTGAGGCAGAAGGGTTACAAGCTCAAACTAAGCCTGGGCAACTTAGTAAGACCCTATTTTAAATAAAAACAGGCTGGGGATGTAGCATAGTGTGAAGGCCTGGGATTTACCTTCAGAAGTAAAGGTAAATACTGTAGGGGGGAGGCAATTCAGTCAGTCTGAATGAGATTGCCTTTATCACATGGTCAGGGATTAAATAAGAAACTAGAATACCATCTTACTGCAGAAAAGAACAGCTATAATTAAGAAATCAAATAAAGGGCCAGCAAGATAGCTCAGCGGACTAAAGCAAGATAGCTCAGCGGACTAAGTGCTTGTTTAGGTAAGCACAGAGGCCAGGATTCGATCCCTGGCACTGCATGCCGCTCTGGCCCCGCCGTCCGGTATGCTGAGCCAGCAATGGAGTCTGGTGCATGTCTGTAATCCCAGCAGTAGGGAGGCAGAAATCAGGAGGATCACTATGAGTCCGAACAGCATAGTGAGACCCTACACACACACACACACACACACACACACACACACACACACACCTAAAAAAAAGAAAGAAAGAAAGAAATCAAACAATAACAAATGTTGGTAAGGCTATAGGGGAAAATCTTATACACTGTTGGTGGGAATGTAACCTGGAACAACCACTACGAAGAGCAGTATGGAGAGTCCTCAGAATGCCATCCGACACAGCTATTCCTCTTCTAGGAACCTCCCTAAGAGAGCTAAGGTTATCGCATTACCTTGATGAATGCACAGCAGCACAACTCAGAAGAACTAAATCCTGGAAACAGCCAGCAGAGGAGTGGATGAGGGACATGGGGTATTTTTACACTGTGGAACATTAGCCTGCTAAAAAGCAGGATAAGGGGCTGGTGAGATGGCTCAGTGGTCTAAAGCACCTACTTAGAACAAGCTAAGCTAAGCAAAGCACAGGGACCACGGTTCAATCCCCAGCACCACATGCCAGCCAGCCCCGCCCCCTGGTGGGCTGAGCTGGCCACACACACACACACATACACACACACATACATAAATAAATAAACAAATAAATTTTTAAAAAAAGCAGGATAAGCTTGAAGTATTCGTAAGTAAATGGATGTACCTCAAGGCCATAATATTAAGTGAAAGAAATCAGATACACGAGTTTAAATATCATGTGTTTTCTCTTGTATGTGAAACCTGAAGTATGAATAAGAATGGATCATAGAAAGCAGGGAGATCTTTTTCAAATGGGAAGGGGAACAAGAACTGGAGGGAGGGGAAGCAGACAGAAAGAACTAAGATGTGTTAAGTATGTGCACAAACTCCACACACTAGATGTAAGCATTATGCACTACAAACTAGTAATAAAAAAATTAAATTAAAAAAAGAAAAAATAGCTGGGTGTGGTGGTGCATGCACTTGGGAGGCTGACACAGGAGGATCACTGTGAGTTCAAGGCCAGCCTGAAATACAAGAGGTCTTGTCTCAAAACAGAAAAGAAAGAAAGTACACTAGAGCATACATTTTTCCAAGGACAGATTCTTTTTCAGTTTAGTATTTTTGTGTGCGTTTGTGTGTGTTTTTTTTAGGGAAGGGTCTCCTTGGTATTTAGGGTCTCACTATTAGATTGGACTTGTAGTGATCCACCTGTTTACAGCCTCCCAAGTACTGGGATTACAGGTGTGCACGCCACCATGCCCAGTCTCAATTGCCGTCTTAGCACACCCCCGGGGCAGGGCCAGCACAGCAGGCCCCAGGGATCAAACCCCTGGCCCCGTGCAAGTTTAGTATTCCTAAAAGCAGGCTTGGCATATGATTGGCATGCACTAAGATGAATTCTTTGTAACTGTGAAGGAATATATAAATGTTATTATTATGAATGACCAGGCTAAAGGTTTTATGCAGAAGGCAACTGGGCATTGCCTTGACTTCAGGACAGACGTTTAGCTCTTGACACTGGGAAGACCAACTGGCACTACACCTAAGGCTCAGTCCTCAAAGAGCTTCTGAAGGTAAAATAGATCTTATAGCCATCTGAACATATGCAATTCATTTAGTCATTCAACAAACATCCGAGCTATCACAAATTGCTGAAGGGCTCAGACCTTTGGAATGAGACATTAATACCTCTCTGTCTCTCTCTGGGTCTCTGTGAGTCTGCGTCCGTCTGTCTGTCTCTGTCTCTGTCTCTGTCTCTGTCTCTGTCTCTGTCTCTGTCTCTGTCTCTGTCTGTCTCTCTCTCTCTTTCTCTCTCTGGTTTTCTCACTTCCACTGCCTGGTGTCTGTGCATTTATTTCCTTAAACCAAAAAAAATAAGCCTATTCGTGCATCTCTGACAAGCCTAGTGGGAAGATTAAATGAGAAATTGTGTCTAAGATGCCTCCTGTTCAAGGAAATTGTGTCTAAGATGCCACCTGGAGCCCTCAATAAGTTAGGAGCCATGTTTATTGTTATCTGGGCCCTGTTGGTGCTGGGAATAGAGATATGGCAGACTTCTCTACCTAAAGGGATTGAGAAGCCAGGGACTGAGGTACATACCTCTAATCCCAGATACTTGGGAGGCT